GACCACACTCCCTTCCTAGACTGATGGCCACACTCCCTTCCCAGACTGATAGTCACACTCCCTCCCCGGGCTGATGGCCACATGCCCTCCCCAGGCTGATGGCCACATGCCCTCCCCAGGCTGATGGCCACATGCCTTCCCCAGGCTGATGGCCACACTCCCTCCCCAAACAGATGGCCACACTCCCTCCCCAGGCTGATGGCCACATTTCCTCCCCAGGCTGATGGCCACACTTTCCTTTCCCAGGCTGATGGCCACACTCCTTTCCCAGGCTGATGGCCACACTCCTTTCCCAGGCTGACGGCCACACTCCTTTCCCAGGCTGACGGCCACACTCCTTTCCCAGGCTGACGGTGACGGTCACACTCCTTTCCCAGGCTGATGGCCACACGCCCTTCCAAGACTGATGGCCACACTCCCTCCCCAGGTTGATGGAAACACGCCATCCCCAGTCTGATGGTCACACTTCCTCTCCAGACTGATGGCAACACTCCCTCGCCAGACTGATGGCCACACTCCCTCGCAAGACTGATGGCAACACTCCCTCTCCAGGCTAATGGCCACACTCCCTCCTCAGACTTATAGCAACACTCCCTACCCAGGCTGATGGTCACACTCACACCTTCCCTCCCTGAACTGGTGGTCACCCTTTCACATACCTTCCACAAACTGACAGCCAGCCTCCCATATCCACTCCACCTGGCAACCACTATCTCACATCCCCTCCCCAAACTGATGACCACCACCTCTACATCCACTCCCCAGATTGACAGCCATCACATCCCCACTCACATGGCAACCACCTGTCCACATCCTCCAATGAGATGCATGCTAAGTATCTACATCCCCTCTCCAGACCAACAGCCACTCTCCCACACTCCCTGCCCACATTCCATCCCTGGAGATAAAGCCACAAGCACACATCCCCTTCTGCTGTGTTGGCTACCAGCCTCTAATTCCCTTCCCAACTGATAGCCATTAGCCAAGAACTGTCCAGTGCCTTTTCCCACCAGCATCCCTATTACCGCTGTACTGCACTTTGGGATGCTAGATGGCATTTCTATCCCACACTTACAGGATAGACCAACATGGACCACACCCCAGCACAAATGCACCTCAGCCCTGGACTGCCCACCACATCCCCAGAATAACAATCCATATAAACCACATGACAGTCATCAGTTAACATATTTCATTTTAATCAATGTACTCAATATACCATCACAAGCACACTTAATTAGCTAACCCATGCAGGTTAGTAAACATTTTATTCTTACACAGGTGAGCATTTTCTATTCTTTAGCATTTTTACCATGTTACTCTGCCCCGCCCCAATGTACCTCCCCATGCAGCTCACTATCAATGACTCGTACTTTAGAATTCTGTGTCACTAAGCTTTGTCTTCTGTCTTGCTGCCATGCCAGGCATTGTGACTAGTTTGAGCTAGAGACCATGCTGGAGCAGTGGAATGGTTCTTGATAGATATTAGGTGGTTCTGTGGGTGAATGATGGTGTTGATCTCTCTTTGGAGATATGGCCTGCTTACCTTACTGGTATGACAGAGCTGTCACTTTGGCTGAAAAAATACTTGAGTAAGGAGAGAGGCGCATCCAGAATAAGGAAACTCTTGATGAAGAAAATAATTGTTTATTGGAGGTAAAACATGTACAGATCTAGCCAATGCGTTTAGAGGAAATTGTCTCCTCCTTCTTCAGGGCTGTTGGTAACTGAGATGGGTAGGCTACATGTTGTACCTGCCTCTTGTGAAAACTGACAATGCAGAGGCTGAATTCCAACGTACCAACAGCCCTGAAGAAGGGGGAGACAATTCCTCTGAAATGTGTTGCATCCGTCTGTATGTGTTTTATGTGTTTATCAAGAGTTTCCTTATTCTGGACACCGGGTGCCCCTCTCTGTTCAAGGAGCATCCCTGCCATACCTGTATTTAGCTACAGTGTAGGAAATGCGTATTTGATCCCCTGCTGAAGTTGAATATTTGCCCACTCACAAAGAAATGATCAGTCTAAAAATCGAATGGTAGGAGTATTGTAACACTGAGAGACAGAATAGCAACAAAAAATTCAAAAGAAATGCATGTCTAACAAATCTGATAATTATAGTATGTTTACTTGTGAGCCACCAGGGTATACTAACAGAGGAGCATATATATTTTTCTAGATCGCTGGTTATTTTGCACACTCTCTACAGGTATGCATTTGATATCAATTAATTCAATAATTACCGCGCGCTCTAATACTAATTAAAAAAGTGCTCAGTGCTTGAAAAATAATATAAATAAATCAACAATTGATGATACCTTTAAAAAATTGTAAATACTCCTATATATGTGCCAATTAATAAATCAAATAATAATTCATGATAAAAATAATATATAAAGTCCAAAAAATCCAAAAGGTATAAATAAAAAGTCCCAAGTGCAAAAAGAAAGTGCTATAGTGTTCAAGTCAAGTCAAATCAAATCATACTCTCCTTCCAACATATGGTTTGCTTCAATCCTGCAGCTTTATAATTAGCCTGTGTGTCTGTGAGGGATGATCCCTCCTTTGATCCACTCTCTCCTTCTAATATGTGCTTCAATCCTGCAGCCTTGCAAGTAGCTTGTATGCCTGTGAGGGATGATCCCTCCTTGTTGTAACAGCCAAATGCATGCAAAGAGAAAAGAATATATGGTGCCTTATCCCAGAGACAAATTCAGATTTTAATTCACTTTCACATTACACTCAAATGTTAAAAACATCAATAGCGCTTTTTGTATAGCAAACAACTGCTGCCTGCGGTGAAGGTCTGGCCAGAGGGTGTGTACCCCACGCCGTCAGTACTCGCCGTATCAGATGTGCGGTGACGTCACTGCCCCTCCCCAACGCGTTGCACCACAGGGACTGCGTAGCTTCATCTATATTTATATTATTTTTCAAGCACTGAGCACTTTTTTAATTAGTATTAGAGCGCGGTAATTATTGAATTAAATGCATGTCTAACAAATGATGCACTGATTTGCATGTTCATGAGGGAAAAATTTGATCCCCTATCATTCAGCAGGATTTCTAGCTACCAGGTGTCTTTCATACAGGTAACAAGCTGAGATTAGAAGCAGTCTCTTAAAGGGAGTGCTGCTGCTAATCTCATTTTGTTACCTGTATAAAAGACACCTGTCCACAGCAGCAATCAAACAATCAGATTCCAAACTCTCCACCATGGCAAAAACCAAAGAGCTGTCCAAGGATGTCAGGGGCAAGATTGTAGACCTACATAAGGCTGGACTGGGCTACCAAACTATCGCCAAGCAGCTTGGTGAGACGGTGACAACATTTGGTGCAATCATTCACCAATGGAAGAAACACAAACAACTGTCAGTCTCCCTAGGTCTGGTGCACCATGCAAGATCTCACCTCGTGGAGTGTCAATGATCATGAGAACAGTGAGGAATCATCCCAGAACTATACATGCGGATCTTGTCAATGATCTCCAGGCAGCTGGGACCACAGTCACCAAAAAAACAATTGGTAACACACTACGCCAACAAGGATTGAAATCCTGCAGTGCCCGCAAGGTCCCTCTGCTCAAGAAAGCACATGTCCAGGCCCATCTGAAGTTTGCCACTGAACATCTGAATGATGCAGAGGAGGACTGGTTGAAAGTGTTGTGGTCAGATGAGACATCAACTCAACTCGCCGTGTTTGGAGGAGGAATGCTGCCTATGACCCCAAGAACACCATCCCAACTGTCAAACATGGTGGTGGAAAAATTCTGCTTTGGGGGTGTTTTTCTGCTAATTGGACAGGACAATTGCACCGCATCAATGGGACGATGGACGGGGCAATGTACCATCAAATCTTGGGTTAGAACCTTCTTCCCTCAGCCAGGGCATTGAAAATGGGTCATGGATGGGTGCTCCAGCATGACAATGACCCAAAACACACGGTCAAGGCAACAAAGGAGCGGCTCAAGAAGAAGCACATTAAGGTCCTAGAGTGGCCTAGCCAGTCTCCAGACCTTAATCCGATTGAAAATCTGTGGAGGGAGCTGAAAGTTCAAGTTGCTAAACGTTAGCCACCAAACCTTAATGACTTGGAGAGGAGCTGCCAAGAGGAGTGGACCAAAAACCCTCCTGAGATGTGTGCAAACCTGGTGGCCAACTACAGGAAACGTCTGACCTCTGTGATTGCCAACAAGGGATTTGACACCAAGTACTAAGTCATGTTTTTTGTGTGAAGGGGATCAAATATTTATTTCCCTCATGAACATGCAAATCAGTGCATCATTTGTTAGACATGCATTTCTTTTGAATTTTTTGTTGCTATTCTGACTCTCAGTTTTACAATACACCTATCATTTGATTTTTAGACCGTTCATTTCTGTGTAAGTGGGCAAACATTCAAAATCAGCCGGGGAGCAAATATGCATTTCCTTCACTGTACTTACCTTTCCTGCATTTCCTAACAGCTCCTTGCTATATAAGCAGATTAAATGTAAGCTTTAGGCAAAAATCTTAGCTGTTCTACTAAGGCAAGCACTGAGTTATTGTTAGTGAGTTGAGTCGGGAGTATACACAGAAGCCAAGTAGAGTCGCATCTGGGTTCCTGTCTATCATAATGTGGCAGCACATATAGTGCCTTGAAAATGTATGACGAAATGTGGAAAATTTTGTGGGGTACGAATACTTTTTCAAGGCACTTTACTTCTAAATAGTGCTGAACATTAGAAAAAGCATATATTATTGTTGACTTCAAATCAAATGTATTTCCCGAAGGCGAGAAGCCTCTTTCATTGGGAATAAAATTCAAATCTTCAAAAATGTTAGGTGCCAGAAGTAATTTTGCAGCTGATCTGGATTCCTGGACACAGGAAGGTACACAAGCATGACTTGCTAGTAAGATGTCTATTGCCCATTGATGAAGGGAATTTTGAGGCAAAAGCCTTTTCAATCCCTACATGGAGAGCTTCTCCTTGGCTGAGAACACCAAGCAAGCCTCTATCCCATGTGGATCCTCTGATGTTTGACGACAGTTGACTTGCTCCTATAGCACTTCCCGCAGTGGGGACATGAGTACGGCTTCAGGCCAGAGTGAGTTTTCTGGTGGGTCACCAGATCGGCCTTCCTCAAAAATCTTTTCCCGCATTCCAAACAAGAAAACGGTTTCTCGCCCGAGTGGATCACCTGGTGGTGGTTAAGGTTTGACTTCTGGTGGAAGCGTTTGCCGCACTCTGAGCACGAGTAAGGCTTCTCCCCCGTGTGCAGTCTATAATGAATGATGAGATGTGCATTTGAGGGAAAACCTTTCCCGCACTGGGGACAGGTATACGGTTTTGTCCCGGTGTTAGTCCTTATGTGTTCCGTTAGACGTGTCTTGGGGGTAAAGCACTTCCCACATTCGGAACATGAATATAGCGTGTCCCCCGTGTTTACATTAACCCCAGCTCTCTGGCTAAAACATCCTCCGCATTCGGGACATGGCAGTGTTTCACCCCTGTTTCCACCCAAATGATGAGCGACTGGGTGAGGGTCATCCAAGAAGCAACCCCCCTGAATAGAGGGACCAGACGACAAGTGGAGGTGGAGGTTTGAGGTAATGGGGCTTTCTCCTGCAGAATCAGATGTAAGGTCATCCTCATCGATTTTGGCATCTGGAGAGGGCAGGGGCTGCACTCTTTTGTTTTTCCTTTTGTGTTGTGTAGCTGGAGAAAATAAAAAAAAAGAGGAAATAGCAATAGCTATTTTCAGGACCGGGAGATTCGCCCTCTCTATTTGTCCTGGTGACCACTGTCAAGGGATGGCAACATGTTAAAGCTGATGAGGAGATGACGGGAAGGTCTACTAAAAAAAGGACACCTGTTTTGGTGAGAACTGTCTAGGAATGGATTTTTACCCATTTTGAGAGAATTCCTCTCACTTTCTGTTGTATCTTCTGGGACAGTAAGTGAAAAAGCTCCCCAATGGGACAGAGTGAGCAAAAAAAATATTTTTTTTACTAATTCTTAGTGATGCACCAATATACCAGTCGTCGAAAATGATCAGCCAAAAATAGGGTTATTGTCGTTTTGCCGATAGAAAAAAAAAGGTGGCGATAATGATAATTGACGTTAATGCAAAATCACATCCCATTGACTTCAATGAAAAAATGCCCCCTACTGACTTCAATGCAAAATCGTGTCTCATTGACTTCAAAGCAAAAACGAACACCATTGACTTCAACGCAAAATCACATCCCATTGACTTCAATGAAAAAATGCCCCATACTGACTTCAATGCAAAATCGCATCCCATTGACTTCAATGAAAAATTGTATCCCACTGACTTCAATGCAAAAATGCCCCCTATTGAATTCAACGCAAAATCACATCCCATTGACTGCAATGCAAAACCGCCCCTATCGACTTCAATGCAAAATCGCAGCCTATTGACTTCAATGTAAAACTGCGTCCCATTGACTTCAATGCAAAAACGCCCCCCTACTGACTTCAATGCAAAAACGCCTCTATTTAAGTTTTTACATTTTATATATATTTCATTTTATTTTCTGTCCAATTTTTGTGTGTTACTTGCAATAAAAGTTATTTTAAGTTACTGGATTGTATTTTTTTAAAGTCATATTCATTTAAATTCAATTTATTAATTAAAAAGCTAAAATATAATACAATTATATACTATATATAAAAAATATATATTTTTAAAAAACTGTCCATTTCGGTTTCGGTTTTTGGCCAAGTGCATCCTGAATTTTTGGTTTCGGTCCAGAATTTTAATTTTGGTGCACCACTACTGATTCTGGGACAGGGGTCTTTAAACTATGGCATGTGGGTCCTATCTGGCCCAGTACAAGATTGTATCTGGCCTGCTCCGGCTGTCTATGATAGTAGTCTAGCAGTGGAGTGTGTTTCGTAATATGGAGACTGGAGCATCCACTCCCAGCCAGCCATGACCCTCCTCAAGTCCCCCGATGGGCACTCCTTTATGTAAGAAGGGACTCAGATGGGCATGCCTGGATCTAAGGGTGGACACTGTTGGGCACTCCTGGATCTAAGGGTGGACACTGTTGGGCACTCCTGGATCCAAGGGTGGACACTGTTGGGCACTCCTGGATTTAAGGGTGGACCAGGGGTGGACTGACAACTCATGGGGCCCCCGGGCAGTAGGGGATCATGGGGCCCCTGTGTCCTTGCCCAAACTCAAAAAAGCCTATGAAAAAGGTATCAGGGGCATCTCATGGGGCCCCCTACTGACCCCGGGCCCTCGGGCAGTGCCCGAGTTTCCAAATGGTCAGTCCGCCCCTGGGGTGGACACTATTGGGCACTCCTGGATCTAAGGGTGGACACTATTGGCCACTCCTGGATCTAAGGGTGGACACTGTTGGGCACTCCTGGATCTAAGGGTGGACACTATTGCACACTCCTGGATCTAAGGATGGACACAATTGGGCACTCCTGGATCTAAGGGTGGACACTGTTGGGCACTCCTGGATCTAAGGGTGGACACTGTTAGGCACTCCTGGATCTAAAGGTGGACATTATTGGGCACTCCTGGATCTTAGGGTGGACACTGTTGGGCACTGGTGGACTCTATTGAATTTAAAGGGGATCTGTCTGAAAGGCACTCCTGGATCTAAGAGGGGACTTTTTAAAAAACTAAGGAAACAGGTGAACTCCTCAAAGTCTGATGTCTCCTAACTCCTCTACTGGGCACATGCTTTCTCCCCATTACTGTCTACTGACAGAGGAGGGGGAAGAAGAAGAGATTGTTGTAGTGACTGAACCAGGATGATCTGGGACTCTTCTCTGGATTTAGTGTTTATTACTCACCTGTGCTGATCTCTGGATGAATTTCTACCTCCTTACATGGATCATCACCCATCACATATGGATCTTCTGCTTCCATTTTCACATCACCTTTAATCACATTTCCATCCTAAGTAAGACACAAACTACCATAAAAAAAACACCTCCCACAACCAGTCAAAATTCATAATTTTGCTGATATTAGTTGAAAGGCCAGTCCAACTAAAACTGGAAGTACTGAATTACCTAACAGTAGAGTAGGCTGACTATTCTTTTCACCAAAAGGGTAACTGATGCTTGGCCATCGTCCTTCTCTGGTCTTAAAAGATTATTCCATAAATGCCTGAGACAGTGGTGGTTTAAAATGCTCACTGGCCTTTTAAGTCAGTCAAGATCTCCTTTCAGGAGATTTCTTGGGTAGAGTTAATGACTGTTCCCAACAGCAGTCTGTGCAAATCCAAAGCAAAGGACTCCTGTTTCTCATACACTGACACCATTTAAGAGAGACACCACTGCTATGGGCATGGCATGTGAGTGGAGTTGAGACTGTGGGAGAACATATCTCGAAATATACATATTATTGGAGGCCTGACCATTTTAGGTCTCACAGTAAGTCTTTTGCAAGGGAAATTTAAGGTCCCACCTCAGTCAACCTTTTATGGAAGTCATTCCATACTTTTTTTGATTTTTGTGTGATGATAGCCTCCAGTGGTGCTGGCAAGGAGGCCTAATTGGAGCAATCTTGGGTTTTGCACCTACATATTACATCTGAGATGTCAAGAGTAGTTGCCATCAAGTAGGTCATCAAGAATGAGATAAAATGTCTAAATATTAAAGGGAAATGGGACTGAAACAGTTCCTAGATGTGTCCAGTTATATCTACACAAAACCAATACATTATTCAATTTAATGTTTATGAGCACTAATATTACCCTTACTGGATAATACTGAAGGATCCTGTGATGTTCCTGTGTGGAATCCCAAGAATAAAGAGGATGGGGACATCTCTCTGGTGTTTTTCTGTTACTAGATACATCTGGAAGAACTTTCTCCTCCTTACACTGCACATCAGTCCTCAAATACGTCTCTTCTCTCTCTGTGACTTCAACTTTAACATTAATCAGATGCTCAACCTAAGAAAAACAAAACCATTCTATTATCCGGGTCCCTTAGACCTTTGGATATGCCATGATAGGTTTGCAAAAACTTCATAAGACCTGATCCTCATATGGGACCTTGAGATGTTCCTGTGTGGAGTCCCGGGAATACATAGGACGGGGAGATCTCTCTGGAGTATTTCTATTACTGGATCCATCTGTAGGAAACAAACACACTGGCTGAATACATTGTTTCTATCAGAGGATATTTCTATCAGGTCGATCCTCAATACTATTCTCTCCTTAACAAGAAATGAAAGTCTCCTCTTACCCGGAGATGTGAGGGTCGGCCGGTTTTCCATCATGACGTCCTTGTAGAGATCCTTGTGTCCTTCTAAATACTCCCACTCCTCCATGGAAAAGGAGACAGTGACATCCTGACACCTTATAGGAACCTGACACACACAATGATACAGTCACCATCCAGACACATCCCTTGTCTGTTGCTGGACAATGTCCCAGAATCCCCAGCACCGCTCACCTCTCCTGTCAGCAGCTCAATGATCTTGTTGGTGACCTCTTGGATCTTTTGGTCATTGCTAATTTCAGGTGTCAAAGCGGGACGTGGAGATTTTGAGAAGGGGCTCTGTGTAGTCCTCAAGTTGGGTGCGATGAAGCCATTAGACAGCTTGAAAGCTATATAATTCTATATATAAAAGAAAACAAATCAGCTTAAAATTGTCCAACCCAGGAGCTAGAGTACACCTGAGCACCTTGAACATGTGCCTCAGGTTTTTTGCCCAGTGGCACCAGATGGACCTGACCAATGGTGCCTACATGGTTGTGGTGCAATGTCATTAACTAGAGAACTGGGGGTCACGAGGTAGACCTGCAGGACCTGTGCTGTTCTGCTCAGGAAAATGACCATTAAATGTAGTTACATAGTTAGTTTGGCTGAAAAAAGACAACATCAATGATTTGCTTTACGTAGCTCCTACTGGACACTTACACAATGCACTCAGCACTAACTACTAATTATCAGCAGTACTATAATTCTCCCAAAATATATTGGCTATACATCCCAATGAGGAAAAAAATACATTTGAGATCAGAATGCTCCTCGCCTCATTAGGTCTGTGTTTGATTAATAGAGATGAGTGATGTCATGTGACCTCCCAGAATCCTCCTCACCTCTCCAGTCAGGTCTGTGTTTTATTAATAAAGATGAGAGTGATGTCATGTGACCTCCCCGAATCCTCCTCACCTCTTCGGTCAGGTCTGTGTTTTATTAATAGAGATGAGTGATGTCATGTGACCTCCCAGAATCCTCCTCACCTCTCCGGTCAGGTCTGTGTTT